TTCTAGCATTGTCAGCACAGGGTTTATGATTTGATATTTGAAATGAACAAAAGGAATCAGAATGCAAAAAAAAAAGGAGAGAGATTTTTGTCCAGGGAAATCTCGTTTGCACACTAAAGATGTCCAGGTAATCTTTGACTTACGACCACGACTGAGCCCAAAGGTTTTGTTACTAAGTGAGACAATCGTTAAGTGAGTTCAGCTACCTTTTACGACCTTTCTTGCCATTGTTAAGTGAATCACTGCTATGGTTCAGTTAGTAGCACGGTCGTTAAGTGAATCTGGCTTGACCACTGACTCGGCTTGTTCAGGAGGTCGCAAAAGAGGATCGCGTGACCCCGGGACACTGCAACGGTCATAAATATGAATCCGTTGCCAAGCGGCTGAATGTTGATCACCGGGATGCTGCAATGGTCGTAACCGTGGAAAATGGTCATAGGTCACTTTTTTCCAGGGCTGTTGTAACTGGGAATGGCCACTGGACACATGGTGGTAAGTCAAGGACTAGCTGCGTTATCTCGCCATACTGAAAAACCTCAAGTGAAACAGTTGCCTAGTTCAGGGGTGTCAAACTCGATTTCATTGAGGGCCACATCAGGGTTGTGTTTGACCTCGCGGGGCTGGGTGGATGTGGCCCGGATGGGCGTGGCCAGCTCGATGTCACTTATCGAGGCTCCGTTTTTGGCCGCAAAGACCTTCCTGGGCTCCGTTTTTCAACTGCGACGCCTCCTGCAGACCACTGCCATTGAAAATGGAACTTGGGGAGCCCACGTGCAGCCCTCCCGGGCTCTTGTTTTGTGCCGTGAAGGCCACCTGCAACCCTCTGCTGCACAGCCTCCCTGAGCTCTGTTTTCACTGGCAGAGGAGTGCAGGAGGCCGTTGTGGCCCAAAACAGAGCCCGGGAGGGCTGCACGCGGCCTTCCTGAGCTCCCTTTTCACTGGCAAAGGGTCTCCTCCCTTTTCGCTGGCAGAGCCAGTGGTCTGCTCCTTTTTCACTGGTCAGGCCCGCAGGCCAGATCTAAACGTCCTGTGGACCGGATGCCCCCCCCCCCCGGGCCTTGATTTTGACAGTCCTGGTCTAGTTAGAGACTGGAGAAACTCTTTAATTTATTCGTAATGATATACCATATTTTTTGGAGTATAAGACGCACCTTTTTCCCTCAAAAAAGAGGCTGAAAATCTGGGTGCATCTTATACACCGAATACAGCATTTTTTGCCTCCCAAAACCCCACCCCTTCACCAAAATACATAGATTTTAGGAGGCTTCCAGAGTGCTCCTGGGGGCTTGGGAGGGCAGAAATGAGCGAAAACGGGCCATTTTTTGCTCAATTTTGCTCCCCTCCCGCAGCCCGCAGGAGCACTCTATAAACCTCCTAAAGGATATTCATGCCCTTTAAAAAAAATGGGTCCGTTTTTGCAAAACACGGGCCGTTTTGGGGCTGGTTTGCAGAGCGCAAAAACTTTTTTTAAAAAAAATTTACTTCTTCAAAACCTTGATGCGTCTTATACTCCCAAAAATACGGTATTTCAACCATGATCAGCACCTCTTGATGTTACTCAACAGTTTTGAACGTGCGGTTTCATGGCCCTTACCTCATGAGCCAGCTCTTCCATGCATTTTTCTGGCCCACCCCCCCACGCCATAAATATTTCTCAAAAAAGTCACTGTTAAGTTACTCTTTTAAGCGATTGGGCTTTTGCTGGCAGGACAATCACTCTATAATTGTTTATTAGCCTTCCCCCTCCATTTCCCCCCCCCCCACACTTCCCTTACGCTTCAGAAAATTGATTTTTCAAACTTCACAAGTTCCCTTACAATGATCGGCAAAGATTTGAAGGGTCTCGTTTTCTTCTTTTTTGCATATTTGTCCTAAGTGGTTTTGGGGGGCAATCAGCTTTGGGCAAGCAAGCAACTGAAAGAGTTCTCCCTTTGTGGCTGAGCCGGCCGTATCCCGAGGAAGAGGGAAGCCATCTTAGAAGGGCTTCCAATTGTGACTCTTAGACATTATGAGAAAGAGTCCTATTATCCTAGAGGAAGAACTACTACTCATGGTTGCTACTGAGACAACTCTTAGATAAGACTTACAAAGCATACAAGATCTGGTTCTGGATAGATGTAGTCATGGGATTAAACTATTATGGTGCTTGTTGGTTTCTGGCTGTGAACCTGGGGACCAGGAATTCAAGAGGGGAGCTTTTGCTAACAGAACTAGGAAAAAAAAATCTATTTAATAACAACTTGATGTAAGAGAGGTTGTATCGTTAAAAATAGACCCAGAAAATGCGAGTTCAGAACTCATAGAAATGGGGGGGGGGTCCCCTAAGATTCAGATAGGTACCTGTTTCTGGGTGCCATTTGAAGGTATGCTTAAATGCTACGTTGAATTGATAAACAATTGGTTTATCAAATGGTTGGGGGGAAATGGGATACTTTTCATCCGGTTTAGGCTGCTTCAAGAGACAGCTTTTCCCTTCAACTACACTCAAGGAAGGAGTGAAATGCTACCAGTTCGGGCCAGTTCTCCCAAACCAGTTGTAAAAAATGCTACTGGTTCGCCTAAACCATTAGTGAAAAAAAAATGCTAATTTTTTTTTTAATGTTCCGACAATCAGCTGTGTGACAATTGGCTGTGCTGCACGATTTATATTCGCTAGAAAGCAGGAAATCTTGCTTTCTAGCGAATATAAATCATGCGGCACAGATGTTCCCCATCCTCGCTGTTCTACTATGGGTTCACGAAGCAAACCAGTAGCAGACTACAGAGCTTTTTACCCATGACTCAAGGCCAGTATAAAAACTCCAAGGAAGGGTTTTGTGTGTGTGTGTTTGTTTGTGGGTTTGTTTGTGTGTGTGTCTGGTTGGGAAAATAAGTATCCTAAGATAGTTTCACCAGGCATGAAGTTGACCCCAGCACGTACAGCCTCTTACAAATAAGTTACGCCAACGCTAACCTGATTAACTGTGGTTCATACCTTACCAGTAGTCCTCAACTTACGAATACAACTGGGACCAGATCCTCTGTTGCTAAGTGATGCAGTTGTTAAGTGAATCATGGTCGATTTTACCTTTTTCCTGTGGTTAAGTGAATCACATGGTCATTAAGCAAATCCAACTATATATATATATATACACACACACACATGTAAAAATGCCCAGGTTCAAATCCCAGTAAGGGTATGGCTAGCTGATGAGAGCTAAATAGCTTGAAATAGATCTATACTAGTCTCCCTTTATTTNCAGCAGTTTGGGGAGTGGGGCCAAGTCAGCCATGCCCACCCAGTCAGCCATGTCAAGTGAGTGGCATCAAGCTGGCCATGCCCACCCAGTCGGCCATGCCCAGTAAGTGGCATGAAGCTGGCCACGCCCACCCAGTCGGCCATGCCCAGTAAGTGGCATGAAGCTGGCCACGCCCACCCAGTCGGCCATGCCCAGTAAGTGGCATGAAGCTGGCCATGCCCACCGTCATCCACACCCACCCAGTAAGCTATGCTTGCTCGGTGCCCTGAGGTCACCCACAGCCCTGATGCGGCCCTCAATGAAATTGAGTTTGACACCCCCTCCGGTCTAAAGCAGAGATCCCCAACCCTGGGCTGTTTGGAGCAGGCGAGCCTGCACACGCAGCTCCATTTGTGTGAGTGACGGGCACTCGCAGACCCATATGAAGCTCCATTTGTGTGAGTGCTGAAAGCAGAGCTGCGCGTGGAAGCACACACCCCTGCCGCTCGCACGGAACAATTTCCTCTCCCACCGCTCTGTAAAGCCAGAAAGACTGGGGGCTACAAGTCTTACCCTGTTTCCCTGAAAATAAGAACCACCACCACCACACACCCCGGATAATAAGCCCAGTCGGGCTTTTGAGCGCATGTGCTAAAATAAGCCCTTTCCTGAAAATATTGCAACACAGCAGCAGCCCTGAGGTCGGCGTCTCCTGCACCTCAAAAATAATACGACCTCCTCCCTGAAGATAAGGCCAAGCCCTTATTTCGGGGGGGGGGAAGAAAATAAGACCCTGTCTTATTTTTAGGGAAACACGGTAACAACTTTCAGAATTTCGACTGCCAGAATTCCATGCTGGTTGTACACCCATAAAGGCACTAGCACACTCACCAGTGAGCCATTCTCTAATGCTCCTGTGCCTGTTGGCCTCCCCTTGGCAAAACCACAGCAAAGCCTCCATTTCCCACCCCACCCCGTGGGCGCCTTGCTGCCCACTGGCCCAGTTTGGCTGCAGCTTTTCCATTGACCACATTCGTGCCAATGACGCCAACTGTGTCACCGGGATCAAACAACGTCACCAGCAGAATAATCTCCAACCTCTGCCCCCCCGCCTCCCCAGGAGTCCTTGAAAATGAAACCTGGCAATGCCCTACTGCACGTCTCGCATTTTCCAGACTGACAATGTGATAACCCCACTCAAAATCACCTCTTGAACTAAGCTTCCAAAAAAAGGAATACACGTCGGATGGGAACATCGTTTTTTTGCAGCACGACTGCCATCTAGAGGCTGAATGTAGATACTGCCTTGCAGGCTACAGTTTTAGTTGTTTTTCTCCCAAAAATGCAAAAAATGGGGGAATGATCTGCTAGAAACCGCACGGCACAGCTGATTGTCACACAGCTGATCGCCACACAGCTGATCACCGGAACTTTTTAAAACTTTTTTTAAACATTTTTTTTTTACTACTGATTCGGGCTAACCGGTAGTTCCAACGATCAGCTGTGCCGCACAATTTATATTCGCTGGAAAGCAGGAAATCCTGCTTTCTAGCGAATCTAAATCGTGTGGGACAGCTGTTCCCACTCCCCTTGCTGTTCTACTTACCTTCGCAGACTCAGGAAAGGCTTCTTAATCATGTGAGGAGCAAACCGGTCGCAGACTTCAGAGCATTTCACCCCTGTTGGAAAGTCACAATTTTCCTGGCTTGAAGAAGCCAATTTGGCCCTCGGGGTGCTGCCAACCCTGCTGTGGCCTTTATTTTGAACCCCACTGTCTCCATACAGGCGAGGCTCTTCTTGAGAGCAACACAGTCATCCACCACATCTATTGTTCTCCGTCGCTGCGCTGTGTGCAGACCGCACACCATATCCTGAAAGGTAAGTCGCTGGGTGGGTTGATGTTGGTTCCCCCGAGGGCCACCCGTGGCCGAGTCCATCCTAGGGATGAAATGGGGCGCTTGTTCCTACGTTTCTGTAAAATTCTGCTGCCTGGAGGTTTAATCCAGCCAGAATTGTGATTTACGCACAAGTAACATGAGGCTGATAAAAATAGCCAAGAGCCAAGAGGCCAAATGTGTTCATCGGAAACACAAACGTTTGAAAATGGCATGTGTTATTATGAAGCGTTGGCCACCAATGCATTTTTTTATATTATGCCACTTCCTTCCTTGCTTCCTTCTTTCTTTTCATCATTTCTTTCTTTCCTTCTTTTCCTCTTTCTTTTCTTTTCTTTCCTTCCTTTTCTTTCATCCCTCCCTCTTTTTTCCATCCTTTCCCCCTTTCCTTCCTTCCCTTTCTTTCTTTTCTTTCCTCCCTCCCCTCTCTCCATTTCTATCCTTCCTTTCTTTTTCTTCTTCCTTCCTTCTTTTCATCCTTTATTTCCTTCCTTCCCTTTTCTTTTTCTTCCTCTTCCTCTTCCTTCCTTTACTTTCTTTTTTCTTTTTATTTATTTCTTTCCTTCCCTTTCTTTCCTCCCACCCTTCCTTCCTCTGTTTCTTTCCATCCTTTCCCTCTTTCCTTCCTTTCCTCTTTTTTCTTCTTTTCTTTCTTTCTTCCCTTCCTTTTCTTTCCTCCCTCCCTCTTTCTTTCCATCCTTTCCTCCTTTCCTTCCTTCCCTTTCTTTCCTTCCTTCCTTCCCTCTTTCTTTTCTCCTTCCCTTCCCTCCCTTTCTATCCTCCCTTTTTCTTCTTCCTTCCTTCTTTTCATCCTTTATTTCCTTCCTTCCCTTTTCTTTTTCTTTCTCTTCCTTCCTTCCTTCCTTTCCTTTCTTTTTTCTTTCTATTTCTTTCCTTCCTTCCCTTTCTTTCCTCCCACCCTTCCTTCCTCTATTTATTTCCGTCCTTTCCCTCTTTCCTTCTTTCCCCCTTTTTTCTTCTTTTCTTTTTCTTTCCTTCCTTCCCCTCTCTCCCTTTCTATCCTTCCTTCCTTTCTTTTTTCAATAGGCTTGCAACAAGAAAATAACCTGAAGATTCGAGTCGAGCCAGGGTTGTTCGAATGGACCAAATGGGTATCAGGGAATTCTCTGCCAGCCTGGATCCCACCCCCTGATTTAGCTGCAGCCAGTTTGAGTGTCGATACAACATACAGGTAGGAGCAAAAGTTGTAGGAATTGGGTCTGCCTGGTTTAATGAAAAGAAGGACTAATCAGGAAACTAATCAAGGAGAGAATCAACCTACAGTTAGAACAATTAACCAGTGGAACGACTTGCCTCCAGAAGTTGTGAATGCTCCAACACTGGAGGTTTTCAAGAAGAGATTGGACAACCATTTGTCTGAAATTATATAGGGTTTCCTGCAGTGGTGGGTTTCAAAAAACTTTCGAACCTACTCTGTGGATGTGGCCTCCTTTGTGGGAGTGGCTTGCCAGCCATGTGACCTCTCTCCCTCTCTCTCTCTCTCTCTCTCTCTCTCTC